GGAAGCTCGACAGGCAGCAAGTAAGAAGTGTTGAGTGCATAGAGGTAGATAGTACGTACAGCAGCAAAGGCTTCAACAAGATGAGAAGAAGTAAACAACCGGGGCTTCCACGTGCTGTTCGCGACGCCATGCGCGAACTTGAACCTACACCAGCAGCACCAATTGCCATCACCCTGCTGCGTTGGCGTCAATAGCTCCGCAGAGTTGCGCGGGGCTCGACCCACTGCGACGAGCAGTATGTTCCCTGCAGACCGCCGACCTCCATTTTTATTCTGCTTTCTGTTGGCGATTGGACGCCGCCGTCGCCATAAAACGCTGACCACTTGACGACAACGTCCGTGTTCAAACACCCAGCGATGTGTGTGCCTCTTTCGTCGTGGCCTTCCACCGCTGTGAAGGTACNCTCCCCTCCCCAGCGCGGCACTGTCAGGTTTTTCAATTTTTCTTTGTCATGCACTCAGCCGGTTGATCTCTGATATCCAAAGCTCCCCACGAACACCTTGTAGGACATTATGTCGTTCCGACACTCTCTCCGACGTATCTTTTGGCTCCCTAGCATCGCAAATCCGTGCAAACTTTACATTGCTAGAGCAATCACGCGTATACCTGTTACCGTCAACAGCGGCATTGCTGCTGCTGTAATTCGACACAAAGTTTTGATGTCAGGATGTAAGATAAACTTACACCATTAGAAGACAAGTCAGCGCTGACTTGTCTAATGGTGTAACTTGATCTTACAAAAGATAAACGCTCAGCTCGTTAGCACCCGGCTGGATCATTTGGGTCTATGGCTTGGGATTGAGAGCAGGGATCTCCGGGGCCGGACCCCTCGCCAGACGCTGCCTGAACAGAACATAATGGTGCCTGGTAAAGTGTGTAGCCGGGATCCGAACCCGTGCGTGAAACTTTTGTCGCCAAACGTTAGACCACTTGTCTAGTCAGCGCTGACTGCACAACCCCCGGAAGGCTACGCCCGCGCGCAGATACCGTGATACCGTCGCACTAAGTGCAGCATCAGCGCCTGGCGAGGGGTCCGGCCCCGGAGATCCCTGCTCTCAATATGCTCTAGACCCAGGTGAACCAGTCGGGTGCTAACGAGCTGAGCGTATATCTTTTGTAAGATAAAGTTACACCATTAGACTAGACAAGTCAGCGCTGACTTGTCTAATGGTGTAACTTTAACTGCCGGTGACAAAGATGACGACCCTGACACATACGCCGAACAAGAGTACCCTCTCTGAATGGTGGGCATGGTCAACGTCTGCCGGATGGGAAGGTCACCGCCTTTGCTCACAAGGGCCTGCATCCGCGGCTCATGTAGTCTGTACTGCTGTAAACGAGTTGTTGTCTCAGAAACAGCGGGGGGCTTCGAGACAGCCTACAACAGCATTTTGCTGTGTTGTCGAACGCCGATGCATCGCTCGTAGTGCCAGCTTTCATGACCTACACTGAACGAGTTCCGAAGCTGTGTAATCTCCTTTCGGTGGCAAAATGAAGGCTGCGATCAAGCTGCGATGGAAATGGAGCTGCGCAATCTCAAGGAGCACGAAGTTGCCAACCCCGTTTCAGTCGGGGGTACCCGGCTATTCGGCGGGCATGCCCGACTCTCCAAATACCTGAACCGGGTTCGGGCCCTATTACCCGCCGGGTATTTTGGAGGCGGGTACCGGGGTACCGGGGTACCCAGGTACCTGCTATTTTCGGAGGGTTGGCGAGGGGGTGGGGGAGTTTCCACCTTACGGTGCACACACAAATTAGGAGATGCTACAGCAGTAGGTCAAGGTAAAACCAGGCGACACTTTCAAGTAAGGAGGTTCGTTTGGTTGCTCAAGGCTGTGTCGAGCGCCACGGAATCGACTGCGGCAGAATGTTTGCTCCTGTCTGCCGCATCAGCAGCGTGAACGTACACTCTTCTTCGCACCACCGCATCACGCCGGCCAACGTCAAGACAGCTCCGGTCAACGAGGACGACGTGTGGGTGATTCATACTCGGGATTCGAAGAAAACGGCAGGTAGGTACGGAAACTTCGCAAGTTTTGAACTGAACCAGAGTAGCCAACTGGAATGCGACGCTTGGATGTGCCAAAAATGAAGCGTTTGTCGTTCTGGGACAAGCGTTGCTCCCGAGTAAGAAGCAGTGCTTCGTGTATACCCCATGGGACACCCGATTGATAGTATCCACGGTCCCCTGATTTACTCTCCATTGAAGAAACCTCAAGGGATGCGTGGTCTTGACACCGTGGACCTCCGGTTCCTCCTCCTCATCGTCTTCCCCTTGTTAATGTTGTCGTTGTTGCGGATGACCACATACTTTCACGCCATGTCGATGATGTCTCGAAACACTGCTGATATTAGCATGTACGTGCAAACGTCGCATTCCAGTCGCACAGGGACTCTGCCTACGACGTCGTCCATGCAGGGAACATAAGTTCGGGCAGCTATAATACAGCATCGACTTTTGGATCGATACGATGCATATCGAGGCACCACCTCATATTCCTGGCAGCTCTTTGAAGTTCTTGCCATCAACGAGTTCCTGGATTTGTCCGGATGCGTGGTGGGCTAGACTAGTGGGCTAATGTTCTCGGTCCTTGGATCAGCGATGACCATGATTCGGTCCACGGAAGGAGCAAACTTACTGCAGCAGGACAGTTTTCCATCAGTACTTTTGCACAGGGCGGGGTAGGTTTCAAAGAACGTGAAGTTCCCAGCCTCCTTTCAGTCGTCACACTTCCCCTTGGGAATCGCCGCGCTGGATCTTCAAGGTGAAACCGGACAAGGCTTCAGCCAACGTCACGGAATCGACCATGGCGGGACGTGTTCTCCCGCCTGTCGCATCAACAATCAATGTGCACTTTTGCCATATCACCGAGTGGAAGGGAATCCACGTCGAACAGCTGGACGTCGCCAGCGATCCTTAACGCTCCGCTCGTCGTGGAGGACGTGTGGATGTTTCAAGCTCCGGAACTCAAAGAATCACCCGAGGACTGACAATCACAACGGGTACTGAAGCTTCACGAATCCCTGTCATTCCCACCGTGACCGAAGTGTCAACTGCTCTCTCTCGCGAAGGGTGCGAAAACACCTTGTTCATACATGTGCGGGGGGGCGCAAGATCACACCACGGTGATAATACGGATAGCGAGCGCTCCTAAGAACGTGACATTTAAGAGCTTCATGCTCAATCAACAACAAGAGCAGTACACCGTAATTGTGTGGGTCAGGACATCGGCGTTGTTGTTGGTTGTTGTTATTATCGTCTTCATATCAAAGGCGGGATACATTACAATCATGTATCTTGAAAAATCATCGCACCCTGGTGCCATAACCCCGAGGAGTGCCAAACCTTCGCACGTACCCGGTGCTGGAGGACATTAATCATATCAGCTCGCCCTATGTACGTCCGTAGCTTTTTCCAACGCACACACACACACCCGGTGCGATAACTGGGCCAATGCTAAAACACAGCGGCCTAACCACGGCGGTGCTGGACATAGGCCCCGGTACGATGACCCCGATAGGTGGATACTGATCAACACCTAAGCGGTTTCCTGATAACAGCAGATCGATCGGTGGTGGATGTTCGGACAAACTTAAGAAAAATGCCCCCAAGAACATGATGAGTATTGCGGCCGGCGCTACATTAATAATGCCCATCTTCTAGTAGACTAGAAGCCTTTGCTCAGTGGTGGGGAAAAAATGAACAAAAAAATATGGTTTGAACCTCGCTGAAAATAAATACGTTTTTCTTCTGAGCGGGCCGGCACTGCTGTGTGTACAGGATCTCGATGTAGCAAAATCACCTTCTTTGTTTTTTTCGTGCTGTGGACCACATTCTACTCTGATGTGCGTCATTGGTGGATGTACCTGGTCGGCTGAAAGGCACGCATCCTTGGTTGACAGGTGGCGAGTGGTGACCTGCGATGGGGTCGAGTGCGAGATTTGGTTGATGACCTGTGCTAATGGTTGCGAGGTGCCTTGTTGCCTCGTTGATTGAGCCTTTACGCCGATGATGTCCCGATACGGTAAAAGATTGGTAAGCAGGGCAATAACGAACAATAACAACGTAACCTCATTCTTCGCGTGCACCACGATGATCATGACAATGCAATGTCAAGGAGCGGCCATTTGTAACCCACAAGAGGGACAATAGTTAATTCTAGCCTCGTCCAAAACCCAAGGGCCTGCGGGCGCTATCTATACGGCGTTCTACTTCTTTTCTGTACACGGAGCGACAGACACGACACGACGAGTGTGTGAGGGGGCGTATATTTCGCATACAAACGCGCACCTACGTATGTATGTACGATATCTATACGGCGTTCTACTTCTTTTCTGTACACGGAGAGACAGACACGACACGACACGAGTGTGTGTGGGGGCGTATATTTCGCATACATACGCGCACCTACGCATGTATGTACCTACTACGCCGATCAACCAGTTAAAGTCTACGCATGCGTTACGTACATCCGTCCGGGCATAGATATGCGCGCAACAGTCTAGTGACTACCCCAGTAGTTCTAGTGAATCAGACGTACTTCGGATGTCACTCTTTCTTACGACCAACTCAGAAACAGCAGTACTGGTGTACACATGCGTGCAAACATTGGTGAATGACGAAGGGCACCCTGCGTGTGTAGTAGACCATGCAAGTTTCAGTACACATTGTTGTACAATGACAAGACATTTCTTCTCTTACTTCTCCAACGCTTCTTTTCCCGGCAGAATTGGATTACAGAGGTGGAACGTTGGTGCCGTGGAGATGGTGCATAGCTCGGACGCTCGGACATGATGAATGAAGCCAACACCTAAAGTGGTGAGGAAGATTAAGGTTGTAGACTATGATGCACCAACTGGTCATGGGCTACTTTAGGATGGATCCAGGATGATGCACCTCCACTAGGGCATGAGGGCGCGCGTCCGAACGGACGACGGGCAGTACTCTGAATGGTTCGACGTGGGCCAAGGCCTCCGACAGGGATGCAACCTGGCCCCGCTGCTGTTCAACTTGTTCTTTGCCGCGATGCTCATGGTCGCCGTGGCCGAGTTCGACCAAAAGGACCCCAAGGTGACGGCGGACATGGTCAAGATCGGGACATTTATGTACCCGGCAAGTTGGGCCGCAAGAACCACTCCGCCCCCACCCTCGTCTTTCATCCCCGCTGCTTGTCCCGATGATCTTACCATTGATTTTGCCCCCTTTCCTACCTTACGTACATGCAGGAGTCTGTTTTCGTCTCGCATGCGCAAGCCGGCAGCCTGCAGTTCAAGGCCTTGGCTCTGAAAGGACTGTACCACAAGCTGCTCAGGGGGGTGTCCAAGAGGCAAGCTTTCGAGGAAACGGCGGAGTTTTTTGAAGTGGCATCCAGCACCCCCCGTGAGTGGGAGCTTTCCTACCGTACCAAGGGCCACATCCAGGTGAGAGGAGATATGTACCAGACATCCGTTTCAACCGCAATGAAAGATGTGCATGCCGTAGACTCTGCATGTGGCGATGAACATAAAAAAGTACTGCTGTAGCTCAACATGCTCGCCGGCCGTTGCGGTGAACATGCTCCCTCCGTGCAACGCAGGCGCTATTGCTCCCTTTCCATCCCGCACCCGTGCATGCTTTTGAGCCACCCTTTCCCTTTTTCTCGACAATGCGGTGTTCTTTGTCGCGTGCACCCTTGCTGTATTTGAAGGTGGACCAGAGGGGGAAACACGAACGGCGGTGGATCCTGAGCTTGGACGAGGGTCTTCTCGTGATGGTACGCCAATGGATCCGCGTCAACTCTATCAAAAATGGGGAGCCCAACATGACAGCCGAGGGCTTCCGCGAGTACCTCAACAAGGACGTCTTGCCACAGGTAGCAGACACCAAAACGTGCGACTACGACCCCTTCAAGCACGCTCCTGTCACCAAGACGACGACTGAAACGGCATCAGGAGAGATAGTGGTGTCGTACTCGGTGACCGTTCGCACGGCGCGCTCCTGGCTGCACAAGCTGGGGTGCGAGTACCGCGATCCCAAGTCGGGCCTGTACTTTGACGGCCATGACCGCGAAGACGTGCCCGCGTACCGGGTCGAGAAGTACCTCCCGGCGTACTTTGAGCACCGCGATTACATGGAGATCTGGATCGAGGCGACTTCGGACGAGGCGCGAGGCAGGAGAGCGATCTTCTGCTACCAGGACGAGTGCATCTACAGGGCTAACGACGGCCAGCGTTTCGAGTGGGTGCCACCCAACTATCACGCGCTCAAGAAGAAGGGAGACGGCCAAGGCATTATGATCTCTGGCACCATCGTCGACAACGTGGGGTTCGTTGCGGGTGACCAGGCTGATATCGACAAGGCGCAAGCCTTGCGGCGTAAGCGGTGCGATACTTCGGCAACCGAACACGCGGCAGGTCACCCGACCAAGCCAGAGACGTATCGTAACATCGACAAGCTCTAAAAGGACGAAGACGGCAAGTGCTGAACCTACCACAGGTTCGAGTACGGCAAGAGCATGGACGGCTACTGGACGGGCGCGAAGATGGTTGAACACATGGCAGATGTATACCTCTTGGCGGTTAAGTATCCGATGCACAAGCCCATCTGCTTTTTCGACTGGTCATCTTGCCACGACTGTGTCGAAGACGGGGCACCGAGTGCAACTCGCATGAACGCCGGGTACGGGGGGGTGAGGAAGGGTAAACAGTTAGCTGCCCAGGACGCTACGACCCTACTTGCACACACGCCCAAACTCGAGAAAGGGACGGTGCAGTACCTTACCTTTCAGGAGGGCGAGAGTACTTTCTACGACCCGGGTGCCGAGGATCACATTGGCAAGCACAAGAGGCTAAAGCAAGTTTTGTTTGAGAGGGGCCTCTGTAACGCGGACATGAGCATGAAAGGAATCAAGAAAGGCCAACAGAAGTATGACCCAGCGTTGTGTACGTCGGTGGTGTTTGGTACGCAGGAGGACTTCGCGAGCGTAGAGCCTAGCCTAGTGGTCTTAGTGAAGCGCCATGAAGGAGTGGCAATCATGCTCCCCAAGTTACACCGCGAGATCAACCCGATAGAGCTAGTGTGGGGTAGATCCAAGTATTGGGTCCGGCAGCACTGCAAGTACACTATCGCGTGCTTGCGGACCAATGTTAATAAGAGCTACGCGGTGGCCGAAGACCGCTTGGGTCTAGCAATTGTGCAAAAGTTCTGCAGGACGGTGGCCAACTTCAACGAGGTGTACAGCGACGGACTCCAGGGCGCGGAAGCAGTCCAGAAGAGGGACACCTTTAAGTCTCACCGCAAGCCGGCCCCGTCAGAGTACATTAACCCTAAGTAAGTGATGTACACGTTTATTCTGTGTTGTGTGGTGTTGAAGCGAACGTACGCAATATGTCGACATGGGTATATCAATAGGTTATTACCTGTCTGCGTGTTGTTGTCGGTGGCGTTGTTGCAGTGCGTGGTGTATTGTTTTGTTCCCCCTTTTCGTTGGCGGATTCTCTGTGTGCTACAACAGTATGTATGGCCGTGCGTATAACGTTCATTCAGTAGTGGCAAAAATGAAGAGTGCAACGTGCGTGGGTATCGTGGGGTCATTAAACAGAAAAAGGGCCTCCAGTCGATTGAAGTAATCAAACATACATGGGAAACAAGCCGGTGCGCATGGGCCACATTTCCTGTCCTTCCCCAGGAAGGCGCCATATATATATACACATATCAACATTTTGTTTTTTTCATGAGTATCTTCGTTCTTCTCTAGGCTCAAGCCCCGCCGATACAAAGCAAAAAAAGGAGATGCGGGATGTTTTGAGTTCGTGGTTGCCGAAATATTAGACAAAGAGTTATCACACACACCCCCCCCCC